TTAACTTTGGAGATGTCTTAGGCAATTAAACGGTGCTGGTATACTGTGTTATGGCTTACTCTAGGGTATACTTCTTTATTACAAGTGAATTGGAAACCAACAATAATTTTGATAATTTAATGTAATAGTTGATTCTCCTTTAAATGCTCAGACAATCCACCCGTAGAACCGTATCCATGTTCTATGATATCTTCACAGGGGGTTTTTATCAGGATGAAATGGGACAAGATGATTGCAAAAGATGCAGCATTGGTACATTTGTTTCTGAACAGCGAAGTCCTGGGACTACAGCTGCCGACTGCGTGGCATGTCCATACGGTAACTTTTGTGTTTGCTTTGGGTGAACTGCAACTTTTTTCCAGTTCAAATGCGCTTTTAAAGAATAATGCGAAGCGATTGATTCAACCTTTGGCAGTCTCTATCACCAGTTTTAGTTCAATACACAAAACACATTGATCTAAAATGGATTATCCGGAGGATCCATCTTGGAGTGCATAAGCCGAGAGTACTCGTTTGATTGTTTGTTCAGAGGGGAATCCAAATATGTCTTATTTGGAAGATAATAGTCATTCAATTCACAAGTGATATCATGTGCAAACGCAGAGAAAAGAGAAAATGCATTCGTGGAAAAGCCCTTCTGTCAATGTTTTGTTGTTTCTATAGATAGGGTTCGACATTTTGCGAAGTGACTGCTTAAAAATGAACCATTCTTTTTCAGGTACGCTTTCTAACGAGACTGCCGAACATCGTGCATGCAGATGCCTACGCAACTTCTATCGGTTGGATCGCTTTGGCCCGTGCACAGCATGTCCGCCAAACGGTTTGGTTTGTGAGAAAGATACAGCAATACTTGCTCCTAACTACTTCTGGAAATGGACAGACCATTCTAAAAAAGAAAATTTCAAGGGTTTTGTTAACAATATTCATTCTGTTGGACCACACTACGACAAGTCATATTCCATGTTCGATACTTCACTTCCGAAGCCACTCAAATGTCCCCATGCAAAGTCTTGTAAGGGTGGAATTGACTCAGAATGCCATCAAGGATATCAAGGGAATTTGTGTGCAACCTGCTCTGAGAGCTTCTATTTTCGCTTCAACTCTTGTTTGAAATGTCCCCGGTTAGCTCTAACAATATCTTCATCCATCTTGGTAATTGCTCTTTTTGTTGCTGTGTTTCTAATGGTTCTTTGGGGTGACTCCAAACGTGCAGACAATAACCGGACAGTTGCAGATGTCGTCATGTCGTGCTTTAAGATTGTGATTGGTTTTTACCAAGTCATTGCCGGTATTTTCTCGGCATTGGCTAAAGTCCAATGGCCAGTCGTTTTGATCTCAACGGAGAAGGTTCTAAAAGCGTTTGAAGGGAACATCTTGCAGTTTGCCCCTCTTAGTTGCATTCATACTTCTCT